TGAGTTTTACAATTCCAATGACCCCAGCACCTGAGACCTGGGATATAATATTCTGGGTGCCAACCCTACCACATGGTGCCAAGCCTCAGCTGCTCTCTGTGAACCCTCCATGTCTTCAAAACCATCTAAGACACTCTTACACTTTACCAAGTTGAATTTGCGGCTTGAGAACAGCCTTGCCCCTCTGGGCACAGCCTAAGGTCTGTGTGCTGACCTTAAGGAACCTCTGCTCACAATAGTCACCTCGATGATGTTCATCTCCCATCCGCCCCAGCTGAGTCTTTCACCCAGGCTGGTCAGAAACTACAAATTCTTAAGTCAACATATCACAGGAACAGCCATGGCGTGGTCGCCACAGGAACAGCCATGACAAGGGTTTTTGAGAGACTCTCCAGCTTTCCTCTGAAATTTCACAAGCCAGGCCCTCACTACCTGCATTGCTCTCAACATTCTCTCCTAGGCTCCCCACAGAGCAGCGCCTGAAGTTCCAAGCACTCAACGGCCTCTCTAGCCCAAAGTTCCCAACACGTTGTACAATTCTCCCAAAAACAACATGACCGAGTCTGTCACAGCAATTACCTCTTGATCCTGTCCTTGTTTGCCTCCCCACTGCTGTGATAAACACCATGGCCAAAAGCAGCGTGAGGAGGAAGGGGTTGATTTGGCTCACAGTTCCACAAGGCAGTCCATCCTTGAGAGAAGTCAGATAGGAACTGGAAGCAGGAACCTGGAGGCAGGAACCAAAGCAGAGACTATGGAGGGATGGCTTATTCTCCATGGCTTGCTCAGCTTGCTTGCTTACATAATCCAGGACCACCTGCCCAAGGGTGGGATCACCCTCAGTGGGCTGGGTCCTCCTACATCCTAAGGGTGGTATCACCCTCAGTGGGCTGGGTCCTCCTACATCCATCATTAATCAAGAGAATGCCCCACAGGCTCGCCTACAGGCCAATCTAATTGAAGACATTTTCTCATTGGACATTCCCTCTTCCCAGATGACCCTAGGCTTGTGTAAAATTGGCAAACACCAGGCAGCATAGAAAGTCTCCTCCTAGGTCATGATCCACTTGTTTCTATCAGAAATATACCAGGATCACTTTCCCCTCATTTTGTATTTCATGAACATTAAGATAAAAAGTATAATGGAAAAAGGATATCGTTAATCTTATGCTTGAAAGAAGTCCACGCTGTTTTAAAATATTAATGCACCCTTAAACAATGTCAGTGTCAACAAAAAAAATCAAACACGGGAATGGGGAGATGGCTCAGCGGTTGAGAGCACTGGCTGCTCTTCCAGAGGACCCGGGTTCAATTCCCAGTACCCACATGGCAGCTCACAACTGTCTGTAAATCCAAGATCTGACACCCTCACACAGACATAAATGCAGGCAAAACACCAATATACATGAGAATAAATAAATTATAAAAAAAATGTAAACACAAAGGACAGGATGTACAGTCTACCTGTTCACATATAACACTGCTAAATCCCAAGTGCAATCAATGCACTTAGGAACTAGGCTATACACAAAGTGCAATGTCTTAGGAACTATGCTATACACAAAGAATATGCCCGGGGACCCTATGACTCTGGTGTAGTCAGAAAGAAAAATGGGACGACTCAACACACATGGTGGACGTTATAACCAGTTACCCACGTGTGGCCAGTAACCCGTAGGTGTGTGTATTAAGCAATGACATTTTACTAGTGGTGGTGGTTTGAGTGGAGGTTTTGTAAGACAGCATTTCAGTGTATAGACAAAAGCAGGGGCACTCACTAGTAGCCCAGGCTGGCCTCTGTCTTGCAGCCATTCTCCTACACTATAAAATACTGTAAGTGCCAGTGTAAGAAAGAGACAACACAGGCTTGATTGGGGTTTGTTTTGTTTTGAGGTGCTGTGGGAGCCAGGGGTGCATGCCCACCGCTTCACACTGTTGCAGGAAATTGGGTTTTTCTTACCAAAGAAAGAATTTGCTAGGAACTAGACACAGTAAGGGGAAAGCTACTAATAAATTCTAATAAAGTCAGACTGGAAATATCCAGAATGGGCGATATGAATATCAACTGAGATCCTGCGGGGCGACTTCTTTATTTAGATGCTGGACGTACAAAGCCCTTCCAAAGGCGCACATCTCTGGCGTTCAGCTGAGTGTAATGATAATGTACCACTGCCCTCTAGTGTGCGACCTGAGAAGATAGCGTCTCTGAGACGGAAAGAGAAAACGGCAAGCAGCGGACCAGATGATGGTTTTGCTTTGTTTTCTGAGTCAGGGTTTCACATAACCTAGACTGGCCCTGAACCCCCCGATCATTCTACCTCCTCACCTAGAGAAGGTTCTGGGATTTCAGCCCTGGGTCACCATGCCTAACCAAAAGTATTTTTATCTGCAAGTTCTACCACTAACCACTCTCTCTCCAGGTGAATGAAAGGGGCCTAAAGAGAATAAAGTAGCCGGAAGTCACAGGACTCCAGAGCTGCAGGACTGGGGCCGGACCTTAGGCCACCGGAGTGCTAGCTCTCTGGATGAGGGTCCTTCCTAACACTGCGTTCTTGGTCCATGTCCTCATTTGGCAGCCCCCTCTGTTGCCTGGGTCTCTGCTTCTCTCCCTGTAACTCCCTGCTCGAGTCCCTTTATCACTAGGAGTCCAGGGCATCCTCAATCACAAGTTCAAATCCTTACAATAGTTTAGCTGAAAAGAACAATGGTTAATGAGGCCTCGTTGACAAGAATAGGCTGCCATCAGCAAGCTAATGACCACTTAGGCCTGGCAGGGATGCCAGCCTACAATTAGGTCTACAGTGATGTACAAACAGAAAGGGACTCTGTGATCGTTAAACATGAATCTTTAGTCCAATTGTTCGTAGGAGGAAAAAAATAAAACAAACCTTAAATCCCGCCCAAGAAAACCTAAAATTCATACCTTGGGATGCCAGCCCGTGGCCCTACTAACCCACACATCTAAACGTTTCTGAGCAAGCATGTGAGCATGTATTCTCTCAAAAATACTCTGCACTGAAGGGAGATTTCTCTTTCATGACACAAAGTACAGTGAATGGCTTTTTACTTCACTTCACTTACTGCTAATTTCTAAACGAAGGGCCCACGGACTGTGCGGTGCTCCCCTCTGAACCCCGGATTAGGCACAGAACACACCCAAACACCGATTTCCTAGCACAAATCGAAGACAAAGAGAGGCCGGGCGGTGGTGGTGGCGCACGCCTTTAATCCCAGCACTCGGGAGGCAGAGGCAGGAGGATCTCAGTGAGTTCGAGACCAGCCTGGTCTACAAGAGCTAGTTCCAGGACAGGCTCCAAAACCACAGAGAAACCCTGTCTCAAAAAACCAAAAAAAAAAAAGAGCTTCTAATAAGCAAGGCAGAGAAACAAGGTAGCTGAGTCTGAACGGGGCAGAAACAGCAGCAAATAGCTTTGCAAGAGTTCATTTGAAGAGGGAAAAGGGGGAAATCCTGTGTTAGAATGAGCTAAGATGAGTTGCTAAGTCCTGGTTGGATATGTTAATTAGGTTAGTAATGAATTTTGATTGCTGGGCCTTGATAGTTGGACCTTGGTGATCAGTCTCAGGAATGAGTCAATAACCAAACAAAGGAATGAACCTTAGTGACCAGCTTTAGGAGTGTGATCTAATAGTTTAGCAAAGGGGAGAAAAGTAAAAGGCAAAACCTCTTTGCCATGTCCAGCCTGTGCCTACCAAGGTCTGGCCTGCTAGAGCCCTTCACCAAAACCTTTTCCTCTAAATGTGGATTATCTGTGTCAGCATTAAAGTGTATTAGATCAGATTGAAAAGTGTCTGAGTATTAAATATTGGAATACAAAGAAGCATTAAGTTTTTACAAGTAAATGGCAGTGGTGTGCTCTATTGAGAAACAGTGTGGTGTTAAAGAGAGGAAGGCTCACTGGGGATGAGGTAGAGTACTTGCTTTCCATGAACCAGGGCCTGGGTTAAAAAATAATAATAATAAGCCTAGGTTATGGGTTCTAGACCCACATGGACCAGAGTTAGCCTGGTCCCTGCTACACTTAAGCCTTTGAGACACCTTGCTGAGAGCAAGGTGCTGTAGCCAAGTATCGAATGTCTTTAAGAAAGGGGTATCAGTTAGTTTGCTCATTGCTGGGACAAAAGGCCACATAAAAGCAACTCGAGGAAGGTTGAACTCCCACTTAGAGGCTGCAGTCCATCATAGCAAGAAACCATGGCAGCAGGAGCCTGGGGTCAGTCACATAGAGCCTCAGTCAGAAAGCAGAGAGCCGTGAGAACCAGGGCTCAGCTTCCACCTTAATTAAGGCAATTGAGAAAATACTTCAGAGATGTGTCCCAGGATGTTCTTTGAGGTGTTCTCCATCCTGTCAATCTGACAACTGATATTAACCTTCCCAGAAGTCGAACAGTTTCAAAACTCATTTACTCAAAGGCCCTAGCAGATGAGGGGACAAGATGCAGACCTGATCTGTATGCTCCTCTTCCCACACTCGCCAGCATTGCGTGTTCCTTCTCCTCAGAGTGCCAAGAGAGCTGTCCTACTGAGAAAAGGATACCTGCTGAGAGCCTGGGGCTGCTGGGCAAAGGAGAAAGAATCCAGTCAAGAATATGAAGTGATAAAAAGGGGGAGCAGCACCTCCTAACCCTACCCACTCACCTTGGGTTCCAACTTCCCTTGTTCTGGAGTAAGCCTGACACACACACCCCTTTACTGCTGTATGCTTGAAACATTTATTTATTTTAAGCGACCTCCAAAGTCTCTGACCATCAGACAAGGTGACAATAGGCTCCACAATTATTCCCTTTTCATTAAATTTAATAAAGCTTGTGCTTTTGCAATAGGACAGATGATTTTGTCTGCCTTATGTGAACACTTTTTTTGTTTTTTAGACTTACCCATCTTTGGTATATGTATTTTAATCATACATGTCCATGTCTTAGGCTCCTGGGAGGAAAAAGGATCAAATCCGTCTTTGACTGTCAATATCTGTAAGCAAAGGGGTTAAGGGAGAAAGTACCTCTGGACTCTGTGTCGCTGAGCCAATTTTTTTTGGAAAGAGAATTTATTTGTAATTAGATAATGTTTTGTGAAAATACGTGCTCCTAAGGCTGCAATCTATTAATTAAAGGAATTTAGTATCACCAGGGTTGGAAATGCCCTTTTAAATTGGTCTAGAGTGTTTTTTAAACAATTTTTAGCTGTATCAAATTTTAAATTTCTTAGCAAAGATGTCAAATCTAAGCATTTATAGGAAATGTCAAGCTTTTTTAACATCTTATGGTGAACTAAAGCAGTTACAAACATTAACCAGTTAATACCATAATTTTAGAGTGGAATTAACAATAAACACACAATTTGCCAAATCATAATTTTCTTAAATTCACAGGGGTACATGCCACATTTCACATATATGACTGTCAGAGGACAACTGCCCAAGTGAGTTCTTTCCGCTTTGTGGATCCTGTAGACCAAACTCCAGTCCACAGGCTTTAGCTGCAAGCACCTTTACCTGCTGAGCCATCTCCCTGGCCCCTCCTGTACTTGTGAGTCACAGTCACTATTGTGCCCAAATCCACGAAGTCCCTGCAAAAGCCAACAAGGAGATTGAGTCCCGTATGTAAAAACAAAGAGCCTTCATTTTAATCAAGTTTGCAAACTCCGTCTCTCTGCATGTCCAAAGTATTGGAATAAACGGAGAGCCCCAAGCTCAGTTAGAATTGGGTTTTTATAGTAGTAAAGATGAGGGATGAGGGGTTTCTGAGGTTCAGGACTCCTGATTGGCTGACATTTGTCTAGGGGTGCCCTGGTGAGTGTGTGCTGGCAGGTGTTCCTATCTACAGCAGTTGCGATGCCAGGCATTTCCTTTAAATGGTCTGTTTTGGGGTGGTGCTAGGTAATCTCAGTTTGTGGTTCTTCCTGCAACCAGGCATTGCCACGGGGTAAACTACTGAGACTCAGGCCTCCATTAATTTTATCCATAGCTGAGTCCTACTCTGGCAGGTGACAATGGCTGGAAGTAAAGAACTTCCTTTGGGTGACCTGCCCATACTTAGCTTATCATGGCTGGCCCCCACAGTCACCAGCATCCTCTGGATGCACATGCCATGTTCTTACCTGTCCTTTCTATCTGTTCAGCTTTGTTGGTCTCTTATCCATCTGTCTAAACACATTCTTGAATTTTTCTTTATACTTAAAATTCAATACTGCAAGCCATTATATTGTCATGTTCTCTTCTCTGGGTCATAGAAAGATAAAGCAGTGTAGAGAATCCGTAATTTACGAAAAGAAAACAACAACCATGCTGGAAGGGCGTATAATTTAGTAGTGAAAGAATGACTAGTTCTCCACTGAAAACCATGGTGATCCATAAAAGACTGGGTGCAATTAAATCCTGAGCTGTATTGTCAGACTCTGAGCTCCCATAGCTGAGGGGAGGCAGGACGGGGAATCCCCAGTGGCATGATAGTTTAAGATGATGCTTTGCTGCGGATACAGCACACAAACTCATGCAGGAGATTGATCCTCAACATCCTACGGTATGAAGAGCGCAGACACTGGGGCTGGGGAGATGGCCCACTTAGGAAAACGCTCAGTATGAGGACCCGAGTTCAGACCCTCAGGAGTCATATAAAAGCCAGGTACTACCATACAAACCTGTAATGTCCAAGCTGGAAGGGGAAACAGGAGGATACCTGGGGCTTTCAGACATGGTGAGCATCGGGGACAGTGAGAGGCCTGTTTCAAAAAAAAGAAGGCAGAATGTGATCAAGCAAGAAATCCAACACTGGCCTTTAACTTCTACATGTATACACACACAGGGACATATGTGTGTGCACACACCTGCACACATGTACCTAAACTGTTATGATCAGCTGGTCTGGTCTGTCACCTGGGTACACACAGAAATGCATACTCCTCCATAACATGATGCAGCCAAGTGGAGCTCTCATCCAACATTTAAAACCTGAACTAAATAAACTTTGCTTTATTATGGAGCCTGCCTGAGGCATTTCTTTATAGTACTGGATGAAAAGTTGGTTGATACATATGACTGTGGTCGACCAGTACATAAACTCAGTAAATGTTTATGATTTAAGGTGAAGTGTTTATCATACACATTATCATAAGATCAACAGTCATCCCACCCAATTGACAGCTCTTACTTGGCTGTTTTAAGCATATACTGTATGCTGGGTGTGGTGATACGTGTCTGTAATCCCAGTTCTCTGCGGGGAAAAGCAGAGGATTGTGAGTTCAAAGCTATTCTCAGTTGTGCAGTGAGTCAGAGACTAGCCTGGGCTACATGAGACCCTGTGTTGGAGGAGGGAGGCTGCTTGTTTGTCCCGGCCGCCCAGAACCAAAATAACCACACAGAAACTGTATTAATTAAATCACTGCTTGGTCCATTAGCTCTAACTTCCTATTGGCTAGCTCTAACATATTAATTTAGCCCATCTCCATTAATTATCGCTAACCTGGAAGTAGCTTACCAGGTAAAGTTCTGGCATCTGTCTCCAGTGGAGCTACATGGCTTCTCCTCACTCTGCCTCCTTTCTTCCAGCATTCAGTTTAGTTTTCCCCACCTAGCTCTGTTCCCCTATAAGCTTGCTATAGGCCCAAAGTAGTTCCTTTATTAACCAATGGTATTTACAGTATACAGAGGGGAATACCACATCAATCCTGTCTCAAAAAATCATGTCATATTGTTTATTGTTTTATCAACCCTGAAACTAGGTGCAACTTTTGATCTAGAATATCTCAGGGTATGTCACACACTAACCAGCAGTGCTTAGTCTTCCCTGGTGGTGTACAAAATGACCGTTACAAACTGGAGGTGAAGCCGGGCGGTGGTGGCGCACGCCTTTAATCCCAGCACTTGGGAGGCAGAGGCAGGCGGATCTCTGTGAGTTCGAGACCGGCCTGGTCTACAAGAGCTAGTTCCAGGACAGGCTCCAAAACCACAGAGAAACCCTGTCTCGGAAAAAAAAAAAAAAAAAAAGCAAACTGGAGGTGAAGTTACATGGGGAACTGCTTGCCCCTCAAACATGAGGACCTGAGATCAGATCCTTGGAATCCGTGGGAAGCCAGCACACTTGGTAACACAAGTGTGCAATCCCAGAACTCCTATGATGAGAGAGGACCTAGAGAGAGGAAAATCCCTGGAAGCTCAAGAACCAGGGAGCCTGGGTTAAACAGCAGTAAACTGCAGTAGACTACACCTTAAATTGGAAGGAAGGCAGAAACCGATTCCCCAAGCATTCCTATGACCTCCACGTGTGTGCTGTGATATTGGTGCACAGACGCACACGTACACAACATACACACACACACACACACACACACATAAATCCCTATACCCACACAAAAGAATAACTATTGATCTACACCTATACACTACATTCATATAATCCTGAAACTGCCGGAAAGATATAAAAATACATAAACCAAAGAAAGCAGGCAGAATGTTTCTTGTGCGTAGTGAGCAGAAATAACCCATCTATCAATGTCAGCTCAGTGACTCGAATTTGCAGCTCACCCCAACACACCCTAGCCCTTCAGGCAGACTTGAGGACCCCTGCACTGTGATGAATAAACCTCTTTACAGCCACAGGTGGGGGGTGAGCAGGTGATTAGCGAGGCCTGTATTCTCAGCCCTGGCTTGTTCCACTGGGGTCAATTACACAGCTGGTTACAAGCATGTGTTTGCACCTGTTCGAGCCTTCAAACGTGCTGATCCCATATTAATTAAACTACTCCTTAAAAGCAGGTTAGAAATGCATTAGACCCTGCCATCCCGTGCTGCTCCCAGCTTCCCTGGGTGGCTCTTCATCTGGAAGAGCTCATCTATGGGGGAAGGAAGCAGTGTTTGTGATTGGGGAGGGGTGAGTCATGCCCCATCAATTATCGCCACAGCCACTTAGTGAAACAGTTGTTAGTACGAAGCACGTTAGTGATTAATTAATAAGGGTTGATTATTGATTAGCTAAGCTCCTCGCTTACGAGGTAAAGCCCACAGCCACCACCTAGCGCACGGCCACAGAGTGGCAGGAATATCGACAGTGTAAAATGGAAGGCTGTCACAGTGAGCCGAAATCTTTTGTTGTTTGTTTGGTTTTTGGTTTTCGGTTTTTTGAGACAGGGTTTCTCTGTAACTTTGGCGCCTGTCCTGGAACTAGCTCTTGTAGACCAGGCTGGACTCGAACTCGCAGAGATCCACCTCCCTCTGCCTCCCAAGTGCTGGGATTAAAGGCATGCACCACCTCCGCTGGGCCAACATCTTTCCCAGTGGGCTAAGGGACAGCAGTGTGTAGGTATCCATACCATTTCCAAATGACTTGAGTTGTCAGGGAGGTCCAGTCCGTCACGCTCAAAATCTTTGAAAAGGGGAGAAAACCATCCAAACATGGGAGTTTGCCAGGTAGGATGGGTAGAAAATTTGGTACCACATACATATAGGATTCACCAAGCTCTTAAAGAGCACATGACATGAATATTTACTTTACATGCTTAAACATCACTGTTGCTTCTCTTCGGCGTCCTCAGTATCAGTCATCATTGCTTCATGAACCATCAAGTTTCGCAGGCTTGGAGGTGCTCGCCCCCGAACCTCATCACAGTCAAAAACACAGAGTTTGATGGATTGGGATCTAAACACCATGGACATCCAGCCTCCTGCTTCTACTGAGGACTTCTGGACTTTCAGGAGGCATGCCCAAACGAATTCCCAAATCTAAGCCTGGCATCACCAAGTCAGTAGCCATGTGAACACCTAGGCGGGTAACACAGCCCACAGCGACAATTTAGACAAAAACAAAAATAAAAACAAAGCTGTTAATTAAGCAATAACAACACTAAGAGAGTGCGGTGGTTAGTTTTAACTATCATTTTGACACAATCTAGAATCACCCAGGAAGAGACTCTCAGCAAGGGAGTGGCTAGATCAGGTTGGTCTGTGAACACGTCTGTGGGGAATTGCCTTGATTACTAATGCTACTTGATGTGGGGAAGATACAGCCCACTGCAGGCAGCACCATCCCCTAGGCAGGGGGTCCAGAACTGTGTAAGTGAGGAGAAACTGAGCTAAGCACAAGCAAACAGGCGAGTGAAAACTCTCTTGAACGTAAATGTGATATAGTTTGTTGCTTCAAGCTTATGCCCCTGTTACTCCCCTACAGTGATAGGTTATAACCTGGGATTATGAGCTGAAATAAACCCTTTCTTCCCTAGGGTGCTCTATATCGGGACATTTTCTCACAGCAACAGAAATAAAACCGGGACAGTAATGAATGTACCCATTGAGTAGAGAGACGTGCTCGCGTACAGTGGAGCACGGATACCCGCAGCAGTAAACCAAGGCCAATCAGCAAGAAAGTACAGGTCAGAGTGACCAACAGGAAGTTTCTCATTGAGTGCTCGCTATCCTCAAGGATGGAGAACAGGAAACCAAGCCAGTGTCAGAGTTTCCAAACTGACTTTCTGAAGAGCATGGGCTAAGCCAAATGGAAGATCTCAGCCACACCTCTCTGTGAATCCTCCTGGACGTTCTTGAGCACCTCTGGAAGCCGCTTGAAGAATAAACAGGAGAAAACATCCAGACACAAAATAGAATGAGGTTCTTTCTGTCTTGGCCACAGCGTGGTTAGAACCGAAGGATATTGGGTTAGGTGAAACAACCACAGTGCCAGAGTTTCCCTCACAGGCAGACGCTGAAATTTGGTCTCAAGAGAGCAGAGGACAGAATAGTGGGTCCTGGAGCCTGGAAGTGTGCAGAAAGGAAGTTGGGGAGCAGACGGCTAATGAGAGCAGGGGTAAAGTAGGGTGTGAGGAATCAGGCCTGTCTTATAGCACAGGGGATGGCAATAATTGGCAAGCAATAGAAGGTTTAAAACCCACTAATAGTAAGAATGTTCCTGCTGGGCAGTAGTGGCACACGCCTTTAACCTCAGCACTTGGGAGGCAGAGGCAGGTGGATCTCTGTGAGTTCCAGGCCAGTCCGGTCTACAAAGCAAGTTCTAGAACAGCCTGTTACACAGAGACCTGTTACATAGAAAAACTCTGTCTCAAGAAACCAAAAACAAAACCAAAAAAAAAAATAGGAATGTTCCCACCCCAAGAGAACTTATACATGTTTAAGCATTATAAAGGACAAATATCTAGTGCCATCACTATGCACTACATACGCATACATACACATACATACACATACATACGCATACATACGCATACATATGCATACATACGCATACATACGCATACATACGCATACATACGTATACATACGCATACATACGCATACATACGCATACATACGCATACATACGCATACATACACATACATACACATACATACTTAAATGTCACCCTGTACCACATAAATACGTGCAGTTGCTGTGTTTTCATTCCAAATCAAGGCACATTTTTAGAAATTCAATTTTTAAATGAAAGAGGTTCATTAGACACCTTCCATACCCGAGAAAACCAATTTAAGGAGGGGAAATATACTTATTTAGGCTCCTGGTTTTAGGAGTTTTAGTCTGTGGCCTGCTAGTTCCTCTGTCTTCAGCCTGGGATTAGGCAGAAAGAGGAGGCTGTTCCCCTCATGGCAGACCCTAAGCAAAGAGAAAGAAGGACGGTGAGAAGCTAATACATTCCCTTCAAGGATGAGACATGCCCCAAGTCTTGTCCTTGTTTTGTCCACTAGGCAGGCCCCACCTCCTACTAACCCAGCAGGTGCAAACTCATGATGGACTAATAAAGTCAGTGTCCTCCTGATTGTTAACAGAGCCATTATCTAGGGACAAGGTTCTTCTAGGGCATACTTCTTTTTATTATTCTATTTTTATGAATGTGCAACCTGGACCAGCGAGTCGTTCTTCAGCAGCAGGGTCCTGAGAAGGAGGACCAGGGGATGAGAACATACAGAAGACCAGAAAGCTTGAGCTCGGGAGGTCTGGCACAGCTGACGGCTCCCTTTAAACGAGCATGTCTCCTTCTAAGAATGGAACATTCAAAGCCTTTCCATTCAGAGCATCCGTGGGAAGACATAACTAGCATGCCGTTAAACTAATATTATTCTGTTTTAGTTTTTGCTACCTCTTCTTAATTTTCTGCAATGATTGTGTGATCAAAACAACACATTGTTCTGCAAACAAGTTCATGGTGAAGAGAATACTTTAAAAGGTCTTGAGGATATAGTGTCTTAAGTGTCAAATGCTTAACAAGAGTTGAATACAGAGAACAAATCCATGCCTGGATTTTTTTTTTTAAGATGTATTCATTTAGTATGTATACAGTGTTCTGCCTGCATATGTCCCTGCAGGCCAGAAGAGAGCACCAGATCTCATTGCAGATGGTTTGTGAGCCACCATGTGGTTGTTGGGAATTGAACTCAGGACCTCTGGAAGAAGCAATTGGTGCTCTTAACCTCTGAGCCATCTCTCCAGTCCCCCATGCCTGGATATTAAAATGAATATGTGGAAAGGGGGTCAGATCATCTTTGCTAGCAGAGGAAAAGAGAATGAAGGAGAGACAAGACATTCTTTGTCTGAAATAATGGTCTCAATTCAGTTGGATATCATCTACAGTCTGTACCACGAGTCCCTGCAACAGAGAAGCCCCAAGCATCTGTGCAAGGGGAAGCACAGACCCTGTTACGGTTTTTGTTCTTTCCATACTAACTAGATGTCACTGCAGAGTGGAAAGGACAGTCTGACCTGAGCAGCAGTGACAGGAAGACTTTAAAAGCCAGCACACCGATGCTGACAGCTCCGTGATGCACGTGAGCCCCGGTACTGACCTTTTAGAACAGCAGTCCCCTTTGGAGACAGCGCTGTCTTGTCTTTTACAATCTCACCACTGTTGCCTGCACAAGCTACAAACGTAATGACTCGGAATTCACTCACCTTTCAAGTAAGTTCTGCTTCCGAGAGATGCCACAGGCCTACCACAGAGAGAAGACACTGTACAAAGAGTGTGTGACTGCCAGCTCTGGATATCCCAGCACACGAGTATAGATCCTACAGCAGCAGGGGTGTGGTGAGCTCTTCACAGTCCTGTGACTCCAAGGGTCCTCTCATTCAGACCTGTGTATTCCTATCACCATGCCAACGTGCTGGGTAGACATGGGGCACTGTGACACTAAGGACATGGAAAGTCAGGAATGATGAAGGTAGGAGATACAGGATTCCTTTCTTTTCCAAAGAAACACCCATGTTCAAAGTTACCCTCGCCCTCAACAAATCACTGCATTTTGTTTCTCTTATTTGTGTGTTTGTCTGTCTGTGCATGTGTGCATGTGTGTATTCACATGATGGAACTAGGTACGGAGGTCAGAGGACAGCTTGTGGGAGTCAGGCCTTGCCTTCCATCTCTTCTCTGCTGAGAATTACCCTCTCTTTCCTGGCTGCCCAGATCTGAATAATCACACAGGTACTATANTCTCTCTCTCTCTCTCTCTCTCTCTCTCTCTCTCTCTCTGTGTGTGTGTGTGTGTGTGTGTGTGTGTGTGTGTGTGTATTTCCCACCTGGCTTTACTCTGCCAGTAACAGCTTTTTTAATAACCAATGGCAATAAAACATATTCACAGCATACAGAGGGGAATCCCGCATCGCACTCCATGTCAGGAGTGGTGGCAAGCACCTTTACCCACCGAGCCATCGCAGAGCCTCTCAGTACATTGCTTCTTCAAACCATTATTTGTCTCATGACTTCTAAAATTCAAGGGGCAAAATGACCACTTCAGAATATTAATTATCAGAGGGTCATATGCCCTCATAACTCATCATTTAAAACTATCAAAATATTTTAAAAAATTCACAAACCTAGGCAAAAATAAGAATTTTCATTGATAGGAATTTCATTGATTCCATTGACTTCCATTCTGAGGGGAAGTGGCCTCTGGCTCATCTGGCAACAGAATTCTGCCTGTCTGGGGAGGTATTGTCTGGATGTGGGATTGGCTGAACTGCAAAACTCTGGATAATTCTATAACTGCAAAAGCTAGCACGCATTAGCTACACCCGCCAGCTATCATCCTCTGCCTAGTGGACCTTTTCCACTCCCAATGGCGCCATCTTGTTTTATTTTTCAGAGAAATGGCCATCATCCAGGGCACTCAGATGACAGCTGTGACACGGCCTGCCCGTGTGCTTGCCTCAACAGGTATCTTGAGATCTAAGGAAAGCAGAACACATGAGACTTGGTCTTTCTTTAAAGTATCTCTAGGGACTGGAGAGCTGGCTCAGCAGTTGAGAACACCGACTGAGGACCTAGATCCAACTCCCAGCACTCACATAGCAGCTCACAACCATCTGTAACTCTAGTTCCAAGGGATCTGACATCATCTTCTGACTTCCACAGGCACCAGGCACACACATACATACATGCAGTTCACATTCATACATGCAGGCAAAATAGTCATATGCATAAAATAAATAATCTTCTAAAAAGTTAGCTCCATCTTGTAGGAGGAGCAGAAGCCAATTCAGGCCAACTTGCTTCAAAAACACCAACTTTGGAGCCAGCAAGGTGGCCCAGAGGATAGGTACGCGTGCTAACAAGCCAAACCCGACAACCTGAGTCCCAGTCCCTGGGAACCGTGTGCTATAAGGAGAGAACCGGCTCCTCCATGTTGTTCTCTAACCTCCACATATGCACAATGGCATGTGCGCACATGTACACGGGCACACGTGTGCGCACACACAGACACATACACAATTAATAAACACAATAATCCAACCTTAAAGGGCTGAGGATATGACTCATACATGACCAGGTGCTTCTCAAATTTGACCTTGCATGACAATCACCCACCTAGAGGATGCTTTAAAGCTGTGATTACAACCTAACTCCCAGGACCTGATTCAAGGTCTCTGAAGGGTAGAGAGACAGGATCTGCATTTCTACCTCCCCAAGGGCCGCTGGCGCTGCTCAAGAGTCCACAGTAAGGGACCCGCAGCGTCCTTGGTGGCGCTCCTCTGTCCTACCCTGAGATGAAGAATCCGATAAATACTCAGTCTCTAAGAAGCCCGTCCCCCAGGTGACCCCAGCGTCTGTGTGATGACTCACAGCTGCCTGCCAGCTGGGTACTGATTATGAAAAGCTCAGTTGCCATGGAATTTTATGGGATGGCACGCCGAGAAGCTCAGGTTAGGCCCTTCACTGGTATAAACATTTAAAAATGGAAACCTTTATGATAAAGGTATTTGCAGCCAAGCCTGAGGACCTCAGCTGCGTCACCAGGACCCACGTGGTAGAAAGAGAACCAACTCCTATGAGTGCTCCACATAAAAACACAAATTAATAGTCTTGATTTAATTCGACTTTTAACTGGGACGAGAGAAGGAGCTGGATTTTTATTTTAAATACAATTTCTGAATTAAAATTCCTTTCCCAAACCACATATCACGTATGGGGATGGGAAACACGTTACAAATGATTCTTCAAAAGGGACTAGATATTTAACGCTGGTCTTCATGTAACGTAGCCAACTGTCAGTCAACACGACGACCCTATCAGGAATGATGTACAAACCTCTGTGTGTGTGTGTTTGTTTGTCTACCCACAGGCTGGTAATCTATTCATAAACTGGGCAATCTCTTTTTCACATGTATATTGCCCCCCAACTCCATTCCTCTACCTCATCTTGTAAATCTTCCCTGCTATACCCACCCAGAAAAATCTTTTTTTTTTTTTTCTGCTCCCATCTGATGGGACTGATGGATCACCTTGATTTCATCTTAGGTTTAAAAGCTATCTTAATACAAACAAAATAAGCTCATTTCTGTCTTCTGTAAAACTTAAATGTGATTATATCTTGACCTGCTTTCTGGAATTTGACATGTTCCATATCCTACACCCTGACCTTCACCCTGATAAGATGTTCTGCCAGATAATTTTGAAATGTTCAGCAAATTCCTACATAGCCAAAAAAAAAAAAAAAAAAATCCCACAATCCTCGAAAAACCCCAAGTCCTGCAGGGTTTTGGCAGGATGGTTGTTTTGTTTTTTGAGACAGGATTTCTGTAACAGTCCTGGCTGTCCTGGAACTTTGTAGACCAGGCTGTCCTCCAACTCCCTGAGACCCATCTGCCTCTACAGCCCAGGTGCTGGGATTAAAGGCGTGCACCACCACTGCCTCACTGCCCAGCAGGCTAAATATAATTTAAGATTCAATCCCTTTCACTTTTCCCTTTCTGGCCCAGAGAATTTAAACAGTACCTTCCTTTTAGTAAGATGTTCGGAGTCACACTTCAGATTGTCAGGTTCAACGGCGGTGCCTAAAAGATTTTTTTTTTTCCTCCTGGCAATGAGTTCACTTTATCTGCTTGGTTGCTTTGGGGCGTTAAGATAGGGTCTCAACTATCACAGTGTGAACTAACGGGGACAGCCCTCCTTCCGGATTAATTGTAGCCCTTGTAACATGCAGCCCATTCATAGAGCATCGATAACACACCATACTGTGAGCCTATGCACCATTTTATTTCCAAGGTTGAGGAATTTGTGGGAGAGGATAATCTGTGAAGTGAAACATTTTTAGAGACTCCTCCCAATCACCACAGCTCCCCACAGACCGCTGTTTGTGAAAATCTCAACACTTCCCCTCAGAAACTCACTAGGCCGCCTGATGGCCGCCAGGACTCCAATCAACCAGCAGGTGGCACCAAAAAACCATCCTATAAGAATCACCGCACAGGACGGCTTGCAGTCTGTCTCCCGGGGGCCGGTATTTCATAGACGGGGCCTCAGAAATGCAGAGTGACTGGAAATAAAATGATAACCTTAACGACATAATCACTGTCAACCTCTGATTCAACTCCAGGCAAAAGCCACGTCGCTTCAAGGCAACTTCCACAACTTCTCAAGCCTTTGACCTTAAGCAACTCATTTTCTCTCGGCTGCTAATGAGAGAATTTCATTTAGCTCCCCGCCGCCGCCACCCCCCCCCCCCGAGAATGTGTGGGAGCCAAATGCCATCCTGCATTCAAAAGGCTTAGGTAAGCTGTGGCAGGATGTTTGTTAATTGCCATTAGCATGCGTTTCCCCCTGCGATCAGAAACACAAGATGCTACCTGAGACTCTGCACTCCAGCTCACTTTCCACCCCCAACAGCACAAGTGAAGGTCAGCTGGGCTCAGTCCAGATTCCAAGAATTCGTCCTCCAGGCTCCCTGGTTAGCTGACCAAGCCTGACTAGGTTACAACCTCCGGCAGACGTCCCAAGGGACACTTTCCCTTTCCCCCTCAGGAAGTCCCAGTGAAACAAACCATAACAAGGCGGTGGAGATTCTCCCGGCAGCCCAGACTTATAACACTGAGTGCCTTGTACTAAAGGCACAGTATGACCACAAAGCTAAAGGCGGTAGCCGGTGAGCAGTGCCTAGACAAGTCAGAGCTTCTTTCTGTGTCCGTAAGTTTTGGAACACAGCTCAGATCCCTGAACAAAACACAACCCGAGTTTTGTTGACTTAAGAGGTTTTGATCCTATCCTGTTGTCTAGGCTTTGTTTGTTATCTCCAGGTCTGCTACTGTATCTGTTAAAGATGGGAAACCAAAGCCAACCCTACCTGAGGAACCATGAGCTTATCCAGTTCCCAGCACTTGATAAAATACTAGGTAATCTTCAAAACTAAAATAAAGTACGGTACACGTTTTAAAGACTTTCCACTTTCGAGTGGGGACAGTCAACAGCCCTCACTGGACCACGTAAGAAACCCTGAACTACACCCAGGATTTCAGGCCACTGCCAAGAGACAGTGGGCCTTGCCTCCCTTATACGGGTATGGGATCACGAAGGTTGAACTAGACAATTACTGGCATCCTTCCTGTAATTCCATTTGGCCATGCGGATATTCTCATAGATAGCCATATTGATATGACTTAGGTTGCTTCCACCCAGGCAGGGTGCTTATGAAAGACTGCCATGGAAAACAAACCACTGTACGAAACTCAGTGTTGCAAAATGAGCTTATCCTTGCTGTAGTTTTCCCAGTAGCTGCTTTACGTGGAGGAAGGGCCTCGGAAGGCCAGTGGCCACCAGCTATTGCGGAAGCTGTGGGCATCTTTCTTTGCAGCCCAGGTAGCGTCTCAAGAGCAAGCACCCCAAGGAAGCACAGCTCTGAAGCTGACTCAGAAGGTACTCACCCTGTTTAAACTCCTACATTGTTTCCCTTGAAACATTATCTACAAAGCTTTAACCAGGGCCCAGCCCTGCTTATCTTAGATGTCCGTTCCAAATCTTGTTTTTCCTGGTACAGAGGTGGAAAAATAAAGAAACCACTCACCGCTGCTGCTGCTGCTACTGTGTGTCTTCCTGAGCAAGGGAAAAAAAATGACAGAGACAAGGGATGAAATAGGAGATGACATGATGTATTAGTCAGCTTCCCATCCGCATAGCAAATACCCGGATAATTACAGAGACAGTGTTTATTCCTGCTCACGAATCTGAAGGTTTCGGTCTGGGATCAGCAGGCTCTGCTCACTCTGGATTTGGGGATCTTAAGAGGCAGGGCATAGTGGGAGGTATTTTATGGGATGTGATCTCTTTTCTCTCATTCACTTCCCTGCCATCAAGTAAAGAGTGTTTCCCTGCGGACCATTCTGCCTCATCCTAAGTCTATCAGCTCTCAGTAGCGCCAAGCAGGGGATCGAACTGTTACCGTAGGGTCCCCTGGGGAATGCTTAAAATTCAAACTATAAGGCATAAATAGATAGAAGACAATGGGGAGCACCAATAAAGCGGTGAGTTGGGTGGGAATTGAGACATGACCTCTCCACATCCCATGGTAGACTAGTCACAGTAGCCAACGCTCAGTCATGTGGTTTGCATAGCCGTCTATGCGCTCCTCAAACATGTCCAAGAGGTTTTAAGCATGAACTCATAATGAGTGCACCCCAATTTTAAATTCAGAGCTTTTCTTTCAAGCAAGATGAAGATGTTGAAGTCAACATGGCCTTAGAAGAGCTGAAAAAGACCAAACAATGAACGAGAGAGCCTGGGATATCATCTCCCCACAGAAAAGCTGAGGGAACGGATGCTGTGGTGGCCTGGCCCTATCGTGACAGAATTAAGGCCTTCCAAATGTTACAGGACCAGCCTTTGTGTCCCATCCCGCCCCTCACCCCTGTTCATATCTTAGAGCTCACATCCTGAGCCCCTAGTGTGATAGTGTTAGAAGTGGGGTCCTTTGGACGTGTTTGTGTGAGATCATGAAAATGCCACTGGCATTCTTAGACTAAGAGTCCAGGCTCTCCTAGGCAGGTCATGTGCGCCCACAGTGAGAGAGCACCTATCTATACGTCACCAGGATGAAGAGGCGGGAAAGGAGAAATGAAAAGAGGTTTTTTTGTTGTTGTTTTGTCTGTTTGTTTTGTTGTTGTTTTGGGTTTTCTGTTTTTTTCTTGGTTGTTTTGGTTTGCTCTCGTTTGTTTTCTTGCTTGCTTTGTTTTGATTTCTTTTTAGTTTTCTTTGAGGGGGCGTGCTTCAGAGGGGAGAGGAGGATACAGGGGGACCAGGAGGTAAACAGAATTGGGTTGCATGATGTGAAACTCCCAAAGAATCAATGAAGAAGTTAGAAGAGAGAGAGAGAGAGAGAGAGAAGAAGAAGAAGAAGAAGAAGAAGAAGAAGAAGAAGAAGAAGAAGAAGAAAGAAAGAAAGAAAGAAAGAAAGAAAGAAAGAAAGAAAGAAAGAAAGAAAGATCCCATCTGGTTTCATACAACAAACTGAGCATGCTCAGAGGAGTCTACCCTATGGGAAGGAAAGGGAAGGGAAAGGAAGGGGAGGGGAGGGGAGGGGAGGGGAGG